TTTGATGTATGGAGTGTATTGTACACTCTTTTTCCTTTGATATCAACAATCAATCCTTCTCTTCAAATGGGGAATAATTACCGGACAGTCCATTTGCGCGACAAACTGGTATGGAAGGATACTTTTGGACAACCTTACTTAAATTTTGAAATTTCGCACATGAAAATATGGTGACCTCGTGGTCTGGGGATACTGAGACCCAGCCATGAGCTCACTATTTTGCATATAATTAAGTTAATTAGAGCGTTCTGTTCGAAGCCGGAATCAGGAACATTTTTTGTCGACTCGATACTAGAAAGACCACCAAAAGAACTGGTTATGGCAGAGACGGTGAAAAGCATATAGAGCTGTGTTTAGACGCTAGTCAGTCGTTTTAGAACGTAGCTTTTTTTTCCGTCGATATTTACATCTGGGCGAATGTTACATAGATATTTTATGGTGCTCCTGGGTGTTATTCTTTTTAACATCATGACCGGCAGAACCGTCGGATGCTCATAATAAGGTTCTAACCTCAGAAGGGTAGTTCGGAACGCGGAAGCCTTTCGGATTCCCGTGAATAGTTTTTTTAACCTAGTTAAGACCGAAAATTCCCGAACCAGGAAGGGTGGGTGGATTCCCGGTCCCGTCTTTTCCTGAGTGGTACGTGACCAAAAACACTTGAAGATAAACAGGAAACCAAACAAAAAGTAGCATAGTACCTAAGAAAAAACAAAAAACAAATAAATAACCGAAAGAACCAAATACAGTAGAAAAAAGTATAAAATCAGTAGAAATCATACCCCCTAACGAGATGTGATCCGCCTCTCCCGTTTGTTGTTGTTAGATATATTGTTGTTACAGGGATTTATATCAGTCAGGATCGTTACGATCAATTTTTTGGCCCATTTTGTGGTGCTTGTACTGTAGGATTATTTGGGTATTTAAGCACGTTAATGCTAATTTGCTCTCAAGGGTCTCGGGATTAGAGAAGAAGACTGATCCGGAAAGCAGTGCAAGGAGCGACATGAAGGGGCTCAAGGACAACAAAAATCTACTGTTGGGTATCGTTAACAAGTTTTGTACCCCTTTTGGTACAAAAAGTAAGATATTCCCTTTTGTTACTAAAAGTAAGTGCATCGTGTTTGTCCAATATGATGTGGATGACGCTAGAGCATTTTCTTTTGACGTCTCATCACTGGCATCTGGAGTTATCAGAGGTGGGACTGTAGTGATCACGGAAATCGGTTTCGTGCAGGTAGACAACCGTGTTGTTTGCTTTGTTTGTTTGAGTCCTATTTAGTTGCTCCTTATTAAAGTAAAAAATACCTAACAAAAATCTCATTATGGTCTGAATTCGACGTCGCAGCAGGGCATCTATCTTGCTCAACAAGCCTTCCAACGTTTGTTCTTGGTAACTTCTCAACAAACTATTGCCTTCAAGTAGACACCACACCCTCGTGTTTGTCCATTTCGATATGGACGACGCTAGAGCATCTTCTCTTGACATCCCATCATTGGCATCTTGAGTTATCAGAGGTGGGACTGTGGCGATCACGGAAACAGGTTTCGTGCTGGTACAAAACCGTGTTGCCGTGTTGTATGCTTTGTATGATTGAGTTCTTTTTAGTTGCTTCTTATTAAAGCAAAAAATAATTTGTAAAAACTTAATTTCACATTATGTGGTGGTAATGAAAAAAATTAGCAACGTTTGAGTGATTTTTTGGTCGTTTTAAGCGATTCAAAGAATTTAGTGAAACCAGGTGTTTCCCATTTTTCTATTCAAACTAGACAAAGTCACAAACATACCGAGGTTACAATCACACCATCACAATCAGTTCTGTTCGACGTCACAATCATACAATCTTGCTACCAACAGAATGAATGAACGCGTAGTGCAGCAAATAGATTGTAAGTAAAACGGAAGAACGCGTAGTGCTGCCAATAGATTGAAAAATTAATTATCTTACACGCAATATCAAAGTATCAGGAGTTGCGGGTACTAATAGTTCCGACTTCAGAAGAAAGTGATGAAAAATTTGGCCTTGGGATATTTTGTAACCAGACACATTAAAACATTCATTTAAGCGAAATTTTTTTGACAAGCTTTTTCGGCATTCTAAAAAAATTTTGATGCCCTGAGACAGGGATGGATCTAGGTTTTTCTCGAGGGAGGGGGTGGATTTTCAAAAAAAGAGTGGGTGGATTTTTTCGGCCTATTTTTGAGGTCGACCAAAAAGATTTTCTCAGCTCTCCCCAAGCATTAATATGAGACCAAAAAAATCGCACTTTTTTGGCGCGCGCTTCCCCTCAAAATTAGAATATCTTGGCGCCAAAAACGCCCGTAGAAAACTTATAAGTTCCGTCACGAAAAATGGATATCTCAACATAGTACAAAGGGGGGACCCGTTAGGTCGACAGGGAGTCGAACCCCCGTAGGGGACGGGGTGTCCGCTGCAGTCATCTGGCTCTCAACTCATTTTAGCATAAAATTGTGTTCACTTGAATAATCACTTATTGCCTTAATATACGCAAATTTATCTCTAAAATTTCACAATGCGTAAAGCAGTATAGCAGTCAGTTCTTTCGAAAAGAAGTCAATTTTTTCTATTATTTTTCAATTTGCTATTGTTTTTCACAAAAATGTGTCAGAAACTTTAACAAATAGTCAAAGTTTTTATCTGATAAATAATTTTTGTTGTTCCGACAAACTTTTAAAGAAATAATAAAATATAAGAAAAGTTGCCAATACTGAAAAATTAGCAACGTTTCAGTGATTTTTTGGCCGTTTTAAGCGATTCAAAGAATTTAGTGAATCCAGGTGTTTCCCATTTTTCTATTCAAACTAGAAAAAAGTCACAAACATACCGAGGTTACAATCACACCATCACAATCAGTTCTGTTCGACGTCACAATCATACAATCTTGCTACAAACAGAATGAATGAACGCGTAGTGCAGCAAATAGATTGTAGGTAAAACAGAAGAACGCGTAGTGCTGCCAATAGATTGAAAAATTAATTATCTTCCACGCAATATCAAAGTATCAGGAGTTGCGGGTACTAATAGTTCCGACTTCAGAAGAAAGTGATGAAAAATTTGGCCTTGGGATATTTTGTAACCAGACACATTAAAACATTCATTTAAGCGAAATTTTTTTGACAAGCTTTTTTGGCATTCTAAAAAAATTTTGATGCCCTGAGACAGGGATGGATCTAGGTTTTTCTCGAGGGAGGGGGTGGATTTTCAAAAAAAGAGTAGGTGGATTTTTTCGGCCTATTTTTGAGGTCGACCAAAAAGATTTTTTCAGCTCTTCCCAACCATTAATATAAGACCAAAAAAATCGCACTTTTTTGGCGCGCGCTTCCCCTTAAAATTAGAATATCTTGGCGCCAAAAACGCCCGTAGAAAACTTATAAGTTCCGTCACCAAATATGGATATCTCAACATAGTACAAAGGGGGGACCCTTTAGGTCGACAGGGAGTCGAACCCCCGTAGGGAACGGGGTGTCCGCTGCATTCATCTGGCTCTCAACTCATTTTAACATAAAATTGTGATCACTTGAATAATCACTTATTGCCTTAATATACGCAAATTTATCTCTAAAATTTCACAATGCGTAAAGCAGTATAGCGGTCAGTTCTTTCGATAAGAAGTCAATTTTTTCTATTATTTTTCAATTTGCTTTTGTTTTTCACAAAATGTGTCAGAAATTTTAACAAATAGTCAAAGTTTTTATCTGATAAATAATTTTTGTTGTTCCGACAAACTTTTAAAGAAATAATAAAATACTTATGCTCACATGGTTTTGCTTTCTCCAAACAAACTTTACAAGCAACTTTTGATGGAATGCGTTAGATTATAAAAGTTTTTTTTTCAACTGGCCTCAAATTTGCTAATTGATTTGAAACGCATGAAATAATTGTTCGACCGTTAAAAATGGGGAGGAGCTTTGTATTCGGGGGTGTTTTAGTATTTTTTCCACGCAATATGAGCTTTCACAACAAATCATCGAAGAAAGTTGAATGATATATCATTTTCAAGCCCTTCAGTCGTGATTTGCATAACATCAAAAAGTTTCCAAAAGTTTACCAGTGTCGAGAAAAACTGGTTTAAAATTTTTGATTTTTTGTTCAATTTTGAGCGAAAAACTCGATCGAGGAACGTTCGTTTTACGGAAACTATTTCTTTCATCATACTTTTAAGCTCATAAATTTTGATTCTACTATTAAAAAATTTGTTTTGAATGCTTCTTTTAGCGCTTATTTGACAAAAGAAACCTGCAAAAAGTTAACTGTTTTACAAAAAACAAGAAAACTTTTTATATCATTGCATTTTTGTTGTTTGGTTTTAATTTTCTGAAAACAACTTTGTTAATGATGCCTCTAATTCTCTACGCCGTTGTACAGTTATCTAATCAAAACACCCACTAAAAAGGCACTAATTTGGAGAAAAAAAATCTCGTATTTATGAATATGGTCGGAAGATTCTGTGCTAGTTGCACAGCAACCGGCTATCGTTGTTGCTGTTTGAAAGTTGTGGATTTGGCATACTTGTCATATAGGACTTCCGCTGAAGTTCCAACCGCATACTAAGCGAGTTTGTTTCTAAGTCATATTAGTTACATTAAAACGGGTGAAAATCATTAAAGTGAACAGAGAAGATCGTGGGGGAAAGTGGAAAAGAGCGAAACTTGTGGCAATACTTGAATAAGACAAGACTCCTCGTATATCAGGGTAAAATTCTGAACGTTCACACTGCTTTTTGATCCATATCGAATATATTTTCAGGGGGAAAATAGAACAAAAGAAAATATCTTCAATTGGGCATAAATGACTGAACAAAAAGCCACGTCAAGCATAAAGATTCCGTTCTCTTCAAAAGTTGGACCAACTAGCTTCGATTTCAACATGTAAACCAGCCAATGATTCAAAATACAGTTTGATGAAAACGGTTCTGTTCATGTTCCCCACTTCCTCGTAAAGCTTAAAAATCAACTTGTTAGAAACTGTTCATGCCACCAGCGGGTTTTGGGGGGAGGGGTGATAGGGGCGGAAGCGCCCTCTCGGGGATTTGACTCCCACCGACTCAAAAGTTCCTCTCTTTCTACTGATTTGAAATATCCCTCTTTGGCTGACAGACCCTAAATGTTGTCTAAAAGCTCTTTTTGAAGCCAATTTTTACTAATTTTGATGGAAAAGCGCGCGCCGAAAACACGCTACTTTTCGGTCGAAATTCTCCAAAAAGTGCCTAAAAACACTTTTCGGCCTGTCTTTTCAAGTTTTGCCTGCAGCGTCAGAACAGGGTCTTTTGAGTGCTTTGGGAGTGCTCGAAAATCAAGCCTACCTAAGAAAAAGGTCGACAAAATTTTTGATTTTTTTTTTGAAAATCCGTCCCTTTCTTGCAAATCTTGTTCATGCGGTAATTTGCGCCAAGTTACGATCCTACTTACCGAATCAGTTTACGGTTTAGGGTCCTGACTTATATCTGTGATTTTTACAGCCAATCAGATTGAACATGTTACGCGTTGTGCTAAGCAATTTTAAACTTATTTGAACGCTGTGGTCTCAAGATCTCAACTTGTTCTATTTGGGGTTGGATGAATCCGGTAAAGTAGACTTAAAATTTTTCTAAATAATGTTAACTTGTTCACGCTCGGCATGTAGAATTTTGATGTAAAATTAAAAAAAAACAAATCTGTTGAAAGTAGTTAATTTATGCACCATGCCAAGTTTCATTGCATTATATCACGGTTCGATTTTTTTTGTAAAATTGAAACTCAATTGTGGGGGAAAGTGGGAAAAAAACTCTTGCTAATGTGCTTTATTCAGCTGGAGAACATCGAAAGTCATTTTAGATGGGCTTCCGTAAATTGAACTTCAGGAAAAAAAATAAAGTGAAAAGTGAAAAAGAGCTATGGAAATAATCAGTGTCGTTAATCCAACTAGAAGCAAAAGGCAGCTAATTAAAAATACTCTATTGATTTTTTTTTGAACAAAATAATGCAGAACTTAATCAAAATCAGAATCTAAGGCTCTTTTCTACTCCCCCCTTTGATTTTTTTGGAAGTTCAATATATGAAAGTATATCCTAATTTTATAATTTATAAACTGCTTTAAAACGTGTCGTGAATTATTTTTTTAAATATTTCTTTGATGACCAATTTTTAAAAAACCTAATGTTGTAATTTTATAATGAGGCACTGGAAAAGAGCCAAATTTAATTAAACACTAGTATCAATAGCTCCATCAACTTTGATAAATCTTTCAGAGCAACAATGTTATGAGTCAAAAACTGTATTTTCAAGTTGATACTTTGTTCGATAACTCAGTCTGACACTGCAAATTTTGCCAATGACTTACATTTTTGAATAACAATAAACTATTAAAAAATTACCGTACACAAATTTTTGAGGCTCTTGTAACTATAAAATTCCTTCCAAAAAAGTTTTGAGTTCGTTTTGATTAGATTTCAACACAAAAGATTGATTTAAATTGAATTAATTATCAAATTTTACTCTCCGTTTCAAGACGTGAGCACAGTTGCTCTGCATGCTTTTCAAGCTCTGTTTTGTAATACTCGGGATAATAAGGCGAGTTCACAAGAGCCAATCGCAGAGTCTCAATTTGAAACCATTTTTGATTGGTAAAAGACAATTTGTTCTGAAGTCTCGTCAAATCTTCAATTAGCCGACTCGATTCGTCTTCCGAGCCTTGGAATGATTTCTTGATTTGCGTTTTATTCGGGTTCGGGTTTGTATTTTTATTTTGAGTTTTCGGACTCGATCTGATTTCTGGTTTTCTCGGCGACGAGTCCAATTTCACGACTTCCGTCGGGCTCTCGTCCAATACGTGAACGACATTCAAGGTGTCAACTTTATGGCCGACTCGTGAAAACTTAGGTTCGGACTTTACGGAATGGTTTCTCGGTGGAATTGGCGCAAAGTTTCCAATCGAGGCTAAGTCTCTATTGGCTGCCGAAATGAGTTCCCAGCTCGAAGTTGCTTCGATGTCGGTGTTCGGGGAACCGAAACTATCCCCTGGAACTCCTGTCGAAAATGATTTTTTCTTCACCAGATCTTCGGGTGGGAAAAATTCATCCAAAACTTTGTCGCTCGAAGTTTTACTTTCGGTGTTCGCCGAACTTGTTTTTGACATTTTGCTTTCATCTTGTTTATTGTTAATTTTCCCTTTGTTTTGACGGCGCAACATTTCCTGTTCGAAATAATCGAGTTCTCGTTTCGATGGAAAATCTTGCGGGGACAACGGGCTGCTCGGATAACTGGGCTGCGTGAACCCTTCGTGATAAGAAGTTGAAGTCTTAACGCTGTTTTTATTTTTCAAATATGGGTACAAATTCTGCTGATTTCCATTTTCTCTGAACTTTTGACGGTCGTGTAAAAATGAACACGTGCGTCCAACGTCAGAAATTGGATTCGGTAAGTTCGGTTTTGGCGGAAGTCCCGAATCGCTGATTCGCATGTCAATTGTAGTAACTGGCCTTTTTGGTCGATAATAATTTTCAGGGGGGCTTATTCTGACAACAGGACCGCTTCGGTTACCAGCTGCAGGTGTTTGATTGTTGGAGTTTTTGAATGAGGTAGGGTAAAAGCTAGTTTCATTTTTCAAACCGTTGTTTCGCACATTTTCAGACGAATAAGCATAAGTTCTTTCAACTCGTGATTTTGAATAGGAACTTGGACTTGAAACTACATCAATGTTGGTTTCCGCTCTTGGTTTTGGGTTGTGAATTTCTCCGTCTCTGACATTAGACGACAAATTTCCGTAGCCCCCGTCAAAATATTTGCTAAACGAGCTGTTATAATAATTTTTCGCCTCGTTATCATCACCGTTAAAACTTCCAAAAGAAGATTTGCCAGCCGGTGCATGGTTCAAATAGTCCCAAGATTTTTGATTAGTTTCGTCACGTTCATAACGAGTCGCAGTTCGATTCGTTTTTTGGTTTTGCGCTTCGGTTTTTGTTGAGTCATGAAATCGGCTCACGACGTTTTTATTTTCTCCTGCTCTCGGGGAAATGTTGCTGCTTTCGTTGCTTGTGGGACTATTTCCCCTAGGAGGAGTTTCTTTTTTGGTCCACTGGCTGAGTAAATTTCCGAAGTCAAAGTCGCGAAAGTAGGGCGAAAGTTCCGACTCATTTTCGGCGCCGTTCGATATCGAAACTCGACTAGGCGGGTGAAGCGAAACAGCTGTCATTTCTTCCACAAATAAATAAACTAATCTTCAAAAAATTTTAAAAATCCAGAAATACTTGCTAGTAACTTCTCTGTACAAAGTTTAAAGAACACTTATATAATTGATAAATACATCTGGGTTGGTGGAAGCTTCATGCTATAAAGAATTCGATGAAAGAATCTTTAAGTAATTTATTGATAAAATTTAAAGGTGTTCTCAAACATCAATGAGAAAAGACCTTGAGAAAACAAAAAGTCTATATTTGACGAGCTCTGAACGTAAACTGAGATACGTCCAATATGAATACTTTTTGACTGTAGCCGTACAAAAAAGTTATGATTAAGCTCGTTTGGACGTGTCAGCTCAATAATTTCTGTAATGCCGAATAATATCAAACGTGTTTAAAACTTTGAATACCTGTTTTGTTTGGCCGTAAATGGTAATTTAGTTGATTTAACAGAAATAGCCAAAATATCTGTAGTACTAAGTTAAATCTAAATTAGCAAAAATGGTTCGTACAAATCCGACGCGATATGGTTTGAGAATTTCAAAAGCTGTCTAAACACGAGATATTCAAACTGCTCCACTTTATTGCAATAAGCAAGACTTGCAAAAACCTGCTTTTTTCAGGTCAAACTACTTAAGCTATTCAATATTTTTCAATATTAAAATTTTTTCAAATCGAACAAATTATGCCGACCGGCTTTGCAAATTGCGTAAGCCGATTAAAAATTCCAGTCATGACAGATTTTACAATACCACTCTTTCAATGAATTTAAAAAAATAATTTTTCTGTGCGTGATGATCATTTTTGATAATAGGAAATAAGAAACAAAGAAAGGTATTTCTGCGTGGTTGATTTTCAACAAAGAATTATACACAAAATGACTTGTTTTTGTTTTGCATAATCGTATGAAGTGTACAATAATTTGCTCAAATTTGGTATGTTCAAATTCCGCTTGATCGACAAATGCGCACAAAAGACGTGATCTAGGTCTAAGAAACGACTTAAATGGAAAACAATAAATCCAAGCTTAAGACTAAAGCAAGCTCCCCCCACCCCTGCTTCCAAGCTCAAACTTCCTTTTGTCCCACTCGCTAAGTAAAGGACGAGGAGAGGGGGGGGGGGTTTCCTGGCCAACATCTTGATACAGTTAACCGTTGTGATTTGTTTAACATAAAGGGGGAATTGCTTCTACATACCAAGAGGCTAGATATTGTTAACTAGATCCTATGAGTTAGTTTATATTTGAGCTAGGAAGAATAAACTTGAATAAATATTAGCTTTCAACTTCTCACACAAAAGAAAGGTGTTTCTTCAAAGTGGGAATTTCAGCGAATAAAATGAGGCCACACAGGTGTCACTGTTTTAAGCGAAAAGTTTCGACTAAATTGGTTGACGGCGAACAAAAGGTTGTAACTTTAAAATCGCTTGCTCCTTCATAGGGAACCTACGAGCTATGAAACAGGTACCAGGTGAAAAAATGCCACCCATATTAAGAACGAACTCATAAACTGTTGAGCATATATAATTTTGTACCTGTTAACAAATCGCTCCCTTTTTACAATAAAGGGGAAATAGTTAGCAAGATCCAAAAAAAACATTTATAGAAGAATTTCGCAGAAAAAAATCTTTCTTAAATTTAATCGTAGTTTACAACCAACCCCGTCCACGTTAACTTATTAATATTTTAAATAACTGAATAGCACTTAAATCGGCTAGAAAATGAAATCCATTGAAACAATGAAGAATCATAACAACCAGATGCAAAAACTTGGATAAACGAAATCGGAAAAACCTAAGTTTCGAATTGATTGTATTGTTCCGACTTTCAAAGAAAACGATATGATTAAGCTTGTGGTATTTTTTTTCAACCAACTTTTGGCGATCAAAATAACAGTTATTAACAAAAAAAAATTATGCTCATTGAAGATATTGATTCCTAAAAATCAAA